ATTAAGGTTACACTTGTTAGATTTGATAAATATTCTTTTTAAACAACAAAGATGAATAATCTGTTCTCTCTGTGTTTACTAAGTTCAGAGAAATGTTACAGTAAACTTCAGAAAAACTGGTGACCGCACCTTGAACCCCTCAGTGCAAATCATTTTTTTCTACATCATCCCGTTCCACAGCTTCAAACAGACTTTTTGATTTGCAGGAAAGGAAAAAAACCTGTTTTAAATTCAAGTGTTGCTTCAAAGGCTTTTTGCACTCAGCAGCCCTGCTGTTCCTGCACAGTACAGAGGAAGTCTTCAGATAAGTCAAAGCGCTAACTGATGCTAACGGGATTTTCACTGCATTGACAAAATGCTGTAAAAATTCAAGCAGTTTTATTTTATTTTATTTTTCTGGGGATGACAGAAGCTATGTTCATATAGATAAGAGTTTTTGTTGACCTTAACATGGACTGCACCTCACTGTGGACTAGAGTTCTTTTCATAGATTCCAGGTCTTCTTGAACAAGGCAACTCGAGCAACTCTTTCAGCAAAACAAAGTTACATCCTCTAAAAAGGTGCTGTCGTTTCGTCCCTTTACCATATATATAATTGTAACATTTTTAACCATATCTTTGGTTGTACAAGAGGACATTTTGCAACAAATTTTAAACTATAATGTGTTGCGCTAATTAACAGTAAGAAAATGTCCTTTTTGGACTCCGATAAACTTCTTCTAATTATATTATAATTGGGTAGAGTACAAAGTTTCTCAAGAATAAGTGAATAACAATGTACAATACAGTACTATGCAAACATCCATCCCAAACTGTGAATTATTGTTCCTATAGTACAAAAAATAAAAATAAATAAAACAATAACAAACTATTTTATATTACTTCTTTCACCGAAAACCAGGTGTGATGTATTGCTGTAGACAAAAGGACGTAATCATGTATAAAGTGTTATTTTTATTGAGCCGCCTCGGGAGAATGGTTAGAAAGTTGCAGTTGGAAAGTTATGGGACTTCCAGCTCCCTTCTCTGTCACATGTTGGTATCACCGTTAGTATTAAAGCTACAGTGTGCGATAATTACAGGAATATAAAATAATATTCCTAAATACGTTCTCTATTCTCATCTATGAACTGAAAGTCTCAATCTGTATCTCGCCATTATGCAAATAAAGACATTGTCAAGAAGCGGTGTTGGATTGAGGACCCAAATGCAGAGGCCAGTTGGCAGAAGTGGATTTATTAAGGTTCACAGGACCAGGGGCAGGAATCAAAATCCAACAGAAGAAAACAACACCAGAACCAAGGAGACATCAGGGGTAAACCAAAACTCTAGGAGCCAGGGAGAGACGAGGAAAGCAGACAGAC